TACTTGTTGACATAGCTTTAAGTTATGGAAGAAAGAAATGTCCAGCTAAATGTTATATATTTACCTTTATTTTGAAAAATATCCCAGTTTACATGCAATTAAGATTTGTTAATTTTGTTTATTGAATGTGGTTGAGTATGATTTAATCCCATGTCCCCTACTCTGTCTTTCTCTTTTTTCTTTATTTAAAGAAGTTTTCAATATAAAGGTGTTCTTCTCAGTAGCAGTAGATTTACACACATGTTAATGTTCAAGAGAGTTTAACTTCTTTTATTACATACCACATTCTGTTTTGTATAGTAAAAGTAGCTTTTTGGAAACTTAATTTAAAACTAGGAAAGCAGTGGAGAGTTCAGGCATCCTCCAAGGCAGCTCACTTTAAAAATAAATAAATTAATTAATAAATCAAGAAAGCACCACCAAAATCTAAAAAAATTTGAGTTATTTATTCTTGTTCTTCAAAAATTATGCAAGAAAGACAAATAGAAAAAAGCAAAGAATTATCTGTGAAGGACACTAAACAAAATAACATTCTCTAGGATTTTAATCTCTTTTCTCTTTCTTTCATTCCCACAGATTATCACCAAGGGAGTGAGTTCTCTTTACAGTTTCTTTCAATTGCTCAGTACATATACAACCCTGGAGAAATGCAGCAACACTTGCTAATGACATATTCAGTGGGTAATTTTGAAATGGGGTAATTTAATGCCCTGATGGCAAATTTAGTAATTATTTTGACACTTGTTTCCATGTTAATATAGATCAAAAGTGATTTTTTGATAATGTCAATTAATTAATTTCCCATACATTTTGACTCTAAGAAAAATTTTCATGGGTGGAGGGAGGTCTCTTTCATAAGATAAAAAATTCAGATTCCCATTGTATCTTTACGATGGTTTTTATGATATACATATTTTATAATCCAACGAAACTACAACTAGTCATGTCCAAGTGTTGCTGTAATTTCTTTCTCGCCTGTTCCTTGTCACTGCAATATAATCAAATGCTTCCTGTGCCTTGTTTTTTCTTATTACCTGGATTGTGTTTGCATTGTCATCATGTGACGTAATTCCTAATTTACCTAGCCATTCTTTAGTCATTCTTGAACGAAGAAGTCAAGATTAGACAGATATAGGTTGCATGCTTTTGTGCATATCATCATGATTGGGGAGAATATGTACATGAAATAGAAGATTTCATAATTATATTTTTTGATTTTGATTGCTTTTGGGGAACATAGTGCAGATTTATTTATTATTTAGGTCAAGCACTTTTCTGTTAGTAGTATGAAAACTATTTCAGGACTTGGCATTGGTTGATTGAGTATTTTTGTTTAGTATAAAAATCCATGTTATGTACAGTTGCAATAATTATAGATGCAAAACTTGGGTTACATAAAATGATATTGAGTTTGTAAAAAAAATATGCTCAGGAGTTTTCGAAATTGCTAAATAAAGAATTTTTGTGGATATATAACACCACAAAGAAATGAAAGTTAATTGCTTTATTAATTTAAAGTAATAAATATAAAACAGTGAATTTTAATCTAAAATAAAAATGAAATAATAATATAAAGTATCCAGTGATAACGATGAATGACTGCAAATTTCAGGCAGGAAAATTTTGCTTAAAACTATTGTAAGCTTTTTGTCTGCCATCTCAAAGCTTTCAGTGGGAAAGGGGCTTGCAGATATTAGCCATTGCCTGCCTTACTATCTTGATTTTATTGATTTTTTTAGCTATTTTGTATAAGTACACATGGGACAGTATTTTATTACACTTTTATGAGGACTGTCACGAAGTTGGTTTTTTGAATTAGTGTCATATTTTAGGGAAGTGATGATATTAGGCTTTACTTGTTGATTCTTTAACAGTTGTTTGAGTCTTTAATAGGGAATGATTACTTTTATAAAGATATATGTACTCACAGCTTGCTGTCTCATGTTTGCATCTCAATATATATATTTTATATAGATTTATACTACATTGGATATATGTTAACTTATATATGTTAACTTGAGTTACAGACTATGTTTTCAGACCCACTGCCCCATTCTACTTTTAAAAAAAACTTGATAATTGCAAATAAAAAATTGAGATATTTTATTTATATTTACACGTTACTTCCCAACACAAGTCTGTCTCACAAATCCTCTCTCCCTTTACCTCCATTGAGTCTTTTACCCTGTGAATATTTTCCCAAAATTATTGCCAGTTTAAGCCATATCACATCGTTGACCTGGTCAGACATCTGTAACACACATATTTTTGTTTTAAAATCATGTGTAAATAACAATCTGTCTTCAGCACTCTACAATGTGTACATGTTTTGTTTTCTGTGCTGTGCCATAATGCAAAGCAACTGATTATGCCCATGATTTTTAATTTTAATATCTTGTATCTTATCTAGATCTTGTAACTTGCAAGTTTGTTAAAGCTTATTTGTAGCATGTTCTTCAGGTATCTCTGCATTATATAAAAGACCAAGCATCTTAACATAAAAACTGAATATTTTTACTGGTGAATTTTCTCATAATGTGCAGTATCATTTGAGTTCTAGTTACTTTCAGATTTCTGACAAATTTCAACCAGTAAAATATTTCTTAGGTACAATAGTTGTAGAATTCTCTTGGTGAGGAGTCTATCCAATTTTAAAAATTGGTTTTTAGAAAAATTAGTAGATTCTGAAATAAGAAGAGAAGGAAAATTGAAAAGACTGCTAAAAATAATGATATGGCTAGACACTTGTACAAGTCTTGTTTTGCAATGGTGTATGTTTATAATGCAAAATGTGTAACATTAAATCTTTAATAAGATTAATTTTTATCTTGTTTGCAGGATTTGACCAGTGTCCAAAACTTGCAGAAGAAACATGCACTACTGGAAGCAGATGTTGCTGCTCATCAGGTAAGTTGTATTGATTGTATCTAATGGTAATGATTATCTTAATTACGATGATAGAGATTTTTGCTTATAACTTCTTATAAGGTAACAGTCAGATTGAATGAAAAAACATTCTTATTGTTATTCAGCTTCTGCAGGAATGAAGATTTCTTCAATTTCAAGTCTTTTTCAATTAAATTATTATTATTATTATTATTATTCAATCTTTTCCTTTCTTCCATCAGGACCGTGTTGACAGCATCTCCCAGCAGGCAGATGAATTTGTGGACAATGGTCATTTTGATGCTGATAACATTGTGGCCAAGAAGGACGCCATGGTGGAGAGATACAATGCCTTACAGGTAGGAATAACATGGGTGAAAGTGCTCAGGGTTATGCCTGGTTTCAGAGTTTTCAGTCTTCATTTTTTCCACATGGTCTAAATGCAATGAGAAGTAGCATTTAATGGATTTCAGCTTTTACAACTTTCCCCATGGAATAATGATAATAAGTCCCCACATCATTCTCTCAACAGGAACCAATGAATGCTCGTAAGCAGAAGCTGATAGATGCTCTCCAACTGCAGCAGTTTATCAGGGACATAGAAGATGAAGAGGACTGGATCAGGGAGAAAGAACCCATTGCTGCATCCACTAACAGAGGTAAGATACAGATTGAGATGTTTATTTGGGATGTCAGTGCTTATATAAACAACAAAAATTCTTGTTTGGCAGAGTCCAAAGTTGGATAAAGATGATTAATATTAGCTTGCTTATTTTATAAATTATAATGCCAATGTTGAATCAGATGGCAATGACGATATGCACCAGGAGATACTTGTTATTGCCCATATGTTACTTGAGGCAATATATGTTAACTATAAGAAATTTAAGTTTCCCATCATTCTGTTAGTAGTTAAGTGGAAAGTGTCCATTTATATACATTGACATTGACAGAGTGACCACATAAATTTAAAACAACAGAGTAGTGAATGTAACAAACACAATGGCATTGAGATTTTCACATGTTACTTTTTCTCTGGTCCCAGGCCGTGATCTGATAGGTGTACAGAACCTGATGAAGAAACACCAGGCGTTGCTAGCTGAGCTGGGAGGCCATGAGCCAAGAATTGGCTGCGTGTGTGAGCAGGGCCAGGAGATGATCAACGAGAACCACTTTGCCTCTGATGAAATACAGCAGAGAATTGCGGGACTGCAGGAGAAGTGGAACAACTTGAAAGTAGGCTACACTTTTCTGGTCTTTGTTTTCATTTTAGTCCAGTGATAAACTAGAAATGAAAATATGTAACTTCATATTCTTTGGTATCTGTTTTAGGAATTCTTTTTTGCAAGACTATGAAGTCTTTAATCAATACAATACTATATTCAATAACTGTTCCATATGGCAGATACAATGTTAAAACCTTGTACATGCTCTCAACAGTCTTATATGGTTGTTTGCAATGACAATTTAAAATTTGATTATTGGATAACTTTCCCATTTGCAATCCCAAAAACACAAAGTATTATATGCACCTTTTTAGGAGAAAGCGTTCCAGAGGAAGCAAGACTTGGAGGACTCCCTGGAAGCACAGCAGTACTTTGCTGATGCCAATGAGGCCGAGTCTTGGATGAAGGAGAAGGTCCCCATTGTGAGCAGTACTGACTACGGCAAGGATGAGGACTCTGCAGAGGTAAGAAATGACTTATGAATAAAAAGACTGCAAGGAGAGTTTTTGAGCTTAATTTGCAGCATCCTTTTCATAACAAATTTTTAATCAAAGTTTTGGTATTAGATTGAAGAGAAAGATCAGATAAAGACTTTTTGCATGTGTGTGTGTAATTTACATCGACATGAATTCATTATTTCCAGGCCTTATTGAAAAAACATGAGGCTCTCATGGCTGATCTGGAAGCCTACAAGACCAACATAGATAACCTTCAGTACCAAGCTAAAGCATGCCGACAGCAAGAGGCTCCAGTTATTGATGACTTTGGCAAGGAGTGTGTGGTCGCCTTGTACGACTACACAGAGAAGAGCCCTAGAGAAGTCTCCATGAAGAAGGGCGACGTTCTCACACTGCTGAATAGCTCCAATAAAGATTGGTGGAAAGTAGAGGTGAATGACCGCCAGGGCTTTGTCCCTGCTGCCTATGTAAAGAAAGTTGACCAGCCACTGACCGCAAGCCAGGACAATCTGGCCAGAGACTTCACGGTGTCCATCAGGCAGAGGCAGATTGAGGATCAGTAAGTTTGAGATTTCACACCTGTAAACATTCACTCACACTGCCTAGCTCTGCCACTTAGCCATCAGCATGATCAAAGCAGAAAAATAAAAGGCAGATTTTGTATATAATAGATATTTATTTCAAGTGCAAAAAGGTTTGGTGATAATTTATTTTATAAGATGAATCTTTATAAAATATTAAGATTAAAACCATTGCAAGGCATTCTCAATATGGATATGGATCAGAATTTGAGTGTCATTTTGATACTTTCACCTCATACATTATAGTAGTTAACATTAACAACACTATTGCTAATATAAACAAGTTCGTATCTAATAAGACCATGTTTTCTGCAGGTATGAGGCCCTGATAGATCTGGCCCAGCAGAGGCGTGACAAGTTGTCTGAGTCATGCCAGGCCTACAAGCTGGTCAGAGAAGCTGGAGAACTGGGGCAGTGGATGATTGAGAAGGTGAACTGACCACTTGGTGTCTTAGAGCTTGTGTTTTACTTCTTGTAAATCTTTGTGGCTCTGGTCAATTTGAGATTAATTTTGAGATGTGAAATAGTATTTTAGGAGGCCTTAGCACTTTCAAATTTTTCTGTTCATTTATTTATATAATATTTATTTTACTTTTATTTTCAAATCTGAATAAGCTTCTTTCTTGGGTACATGTTTCTTAATGAGTTTCTCAAAATTTAATTAATATTTCTTGGGTTTAGGAGATGAAATCGTTACAGAAGCATTTTAAAAAATATAAAAATTATGATGCTTTTTTTTCTTGCATTTTGGTAGGCAAACACATTTGAAGTGGGTACCTTGTGTATAGATAATTTTATAAACCCTTGTAGATAAATATAACACCTTACCCTCCATATTTCTATGAGCTCTATTATCCTTTTGCCTTAGCTTAACGTTGTTTTCAGGAAATTATAATACTCAAATTTTCTCTCTTTTGGATTGAAAGTTGATCATAATTTCCATCAGTCTTATAGCTTTGGCATCCCATTTTACTTTGAAATTTAGAACTCATGGAATTACTGATTTGTAAAATGTGTTAGACAATCATGAAAAACAATGTTTTTGCATGAAAATATTATCATAATACCATAACCACTGTATTTTTTCCACAATTTCAAAGTATCAGCTTGCCTATTGCTTGAAATCATAATTGAATCATAAGAGTATTGAAAGATTTTCAGACAAAAGCTTGACTGAAATAGGTCTATTAAGGATATTGCTTGAACTTTATCAAAGTTTTTTACTTGATTCTTATTTTATAATTTTTTTTTACATATAATCTGCTGTGCATTTCTGTAGCCATCAACATCCCCCCTTTCTTGAACAAAGCAATTTCATTGTAACTCTTGAGTTTTTTTTTTGTTTTTTTTCAAATGAACAAATGAAAAGATTGAAGATAAAATAAAATGTTATAATATTTTGTACAACCAGTTTCATTTGTACTAAATAATCTTGTAATAATTTAGAATACTCAGGATTATGGAATCTCTTACAAATTTAGGGTTTAAAACTGTCTCACCTCAGATCAAATATAAGTTTGTCTTTTGTTGGAGCAATACATTATATGTGATACCTGCTACACAGCATACACATAATTTATATATTCTTAATTTATCAGGAGAATGCAGTTGTGGAGGAGGCCATCATTCCAGAACAAGCTGATCTGGAACAAGTGGAGGTACAACAAAAGAAGTTTGATGACTTCCAGAAAGATCTGAAAGCTCATGAAGAGCGTCTGGTCGAACTGAACCAAATTGCCGACAATCTGACGCGTATGGGACAGACCGAGGCTGCTGCTAAAATTAGGATCCAGATAGAGGAGTTGAACAGGAGATGGGAGAGGTTGCAGAACACGGCTCAGGACAAGGCTAAGACCTTGGCCAGCTCACATGAAGTACAGAGATATCATAGGTAACAACTTGGACACCATCATATTATAGTTTACCTTGATGACTAACATGAAAAAGATATGTATTCTGCTGCAAGGTAATGTAACCTGTTGTAGTCCTATGGTTAAGAAAAATTTCGTTTGTAAAAATTAAAAATTGTTTGTGATTGAGCTGAGGACAAAAGCAACCCGACTTGTGCCTGTTCATTTGTGACAGGATAACATTCTTTCTTTTAAAATTTTGATTTACAGGGATGTTGATGAAACTAAAGAATGGATTGATGAGAAAGACCAGGCCCTGAACACGGACGATTACGGCAGTGATCTTGCCAGTGTGCAGAGACTTCAGCGCAAACATGAGGGTGTGGAGCGTGACCTGGCTGCACTGGGTGAAAAAGTCCAGCAGTTGGACGAGACCGCAGGCCGCTTGGTGGAAACACACCCTGATGTCTCAGACAGTGTAAAGGCTCACCAGGCTGAGATTAATGAGATGTGGAACTCTTTGACAGAGAAGGTACATTTATTTCCACTTGTATTTATGCTGAATTCAGTAATATGTAAAAGTTTTGTTGTTTAAAATAGATGAGATGTTATATCACCAGTATTTGTTTGGTTCAGTGTTATGTGAAGGTTTTATTGTTTATAGTTGATTGGATGTTATATACAATACAATTATTAAATGGCACTCTCTAAATGCATATTATTTGTATTGTGTCCATCCATTATCTTGATGGACTAAAGAGGTGAAATTAGACACTCATTAAACTACATAAAAATTTATCCAAATATTGTGTGTTTATAAATTCTAATATAAATGAACATGTATCTTCTTCCTCAGGCCAATGCCCGTAAGGCCAAGCTTCTGGATTCTTACGACTACCAGCGTTTCCTGAGTGACTATCGTGACCTGACCTCCTGGATTAACAGCATGCAGGCTCTGGTGTCCTCTGATGAGCTGGCCAAGGACGTCACGGGAGCCGAGGCTTTGCTGGAACGACACCAGGTAAGAGAAGGTCAAGGTTTGAGTGAATGTGTGGCTTTCCATTATATGGTGTCTAGTATTGCTTAGAAGGTAGTGCCCAGATACATAAAGAGTGATGCTATGGACTTGAGACTGAGCACAAGGGAAATGAGCTGGATTGGTCGTCATTTAACTGTGGTCTCTGAAGACTGATGGGTTTTGTGTATGTAAGGTTATAAGAAAGGAGCACAGTTTACACAAGTAGAAGGAATGTGCCTTCAGGCAGCTTGGGAAATGATGTGCAGACTTTTTATATAACATGCCATTTATTGGGGTTTTGTGTGGAAAAAATCGAGGAAGCGCAGCAAGGTTTCAAATATATATGCTATGCATCTATATAGATATATATTTCATCACCCTCTTTTTCAGGAAAAAATAAAAATTTGATTTTCTCTTACAATTGGTGGAAGTAATTTTGTCTTTTCTCCCTGTGGTGAAACGAAAATGCTATCAACATTTCAGAACCTTCACACTGACATTGCCAGTCGCTATGTCCCCTACCAAGTTTTAGAGAACGCGGAGGAGGAGGCAGAGGATGAGGTCAGCCATGATTCTAGGGCATGCTGGGAATGGAGTGATGTGCTGCTGAGATGTTATACATATCAACTAGCCAGTTTATATATACAAATATTTATGTAGTTTTTTGTGCTTGCTCATGTAGCTGTATTTGCCATAAGAGGTTGCGCATTGTAAGACATTCTGAAACTGTCTTCCATGTATGACTGTGTCTGTCAGATCAATTTGGTCTTTAATTGTTGAAATGGCAATTTTGCAGTGAATTTAAACATCTACCAAAAAGTTGTTACTGATAAGACAAGTTGGAACTATTTCACTCTCTCTGTGGCGCCTACAGCATATAAGCATCCACTTGTAGATAGAGAAATCACATTGAGGACAATAAGGCATGTTCACTTTACAGACTGTCCCCAACATGTCCGCGGCAGGCCGCACAGTTCTTTGTCTCACCCTGTCTACACAGGGGAAGCTAATAACAGCATGTTTCTTACAGCGTTGTAGGTCTGTTATGCTGGAATGTGACCTTGACCTTGTCTGGTAGGATGAACTCTAGGATGCTCCTTTGTATAACGTTGTTATTGTCTTTTTTTTCTCTCTGTCTCTCTCTCTATTTCTCTTTCTAATCGCATGGTTTGACTTTTTCCAGATCTGGGCGTTTGTAAAGCATTAGGTTACCTACTGAGTACATGTTGTTTTTGTATCATTTGATCAAGAAATGGTGGGATATTGGTGGCTACCTTTTATTTTTTTACTTTTGTATTTTGATCTTTGGTCGAAATATTACGAAAGATGATTTGATGTAAACTACTTCAGCTCATTAGATAAAATTTTGACCTGGTTATTTTGAAAAAAAAAAATTGAATATTTCAATCCTTGCTGTTTAAATTAGCAGTTATTTTTGTGGGGTTGCCAGTAATATCCCTTCTGTGATCTGAATGATACTTCTTAGCATGACCATGAGACTGTTGATCATGCAGCTCTCTGACTGGTTTATAAAGCCAAAGTGTCTTATTTGTGACAGGTTTGACATTTCGTATAGTTTTCATTCCATGTTTTTTTTTTTTTTGCTGAGCTGTTTTTAAAATGAGGTATGCATTTGTAAAATGTGCTGAAACTTCTTTTTGTGATGATAATGATTTAGCATTGATACTGTCTATGTTGGTATGAAACTGTTTATATTTTGCAAAAAAATTGGATTGAGATGAGCACAACTGCATCTTGGTGAAGTTAAAATATTCTTAGAAACTGCCAAGTGATGTTAGAAAAGCATGATCAGCAGTTCAGTAAATGAGAGAGAAAGAGCTCTTATGTGGTAGAGAATACAGGTAGATGTAGCTGAAAATTGCACCACATATTCATATGACTTAAATTTTGATTTAACTCAAGTCAGTCTGTTGGATAGCTATTCAGCATGTTCATGTAGATTACGCATGATTTGTAGAATAGAATAGTGCATGATGAATTAATACCAAGTACATGGTTTTATTAAGGAAAAACCAAATTAAAACTTAATTGGCACTAGGTGAGATTAAGATTCGGTTACATGGTGTCTTTTGAAACTACATTGTACAGTTTTTCTTTGTAAAAAGTGTAGCAGTTCTTACTCTATTGAAGTAGATTTTGTAACAGCACTGATGTTCTGTTCTTTCTAAGTAAGATAGTCTGCACCATTCTCATTTTTCTTCTGTACTATTTTTTCAAATAATGGGTCACTTTTTGCACTAATCATTCAAAAAACATAGGGTGTATGAGATGCATTGGATTTATTTTTTATTCCAGGAATTGTGACCCTTTCATGACTGATGACCTTCAGCAATGACCTTGGTGTCCTTGACCTTGATGTCAAGAGATCATGGGACAACTTCCTGTAAATGTTTTAGCATTTCAAAACTTGCCAGGAAAACTTTTCAGTGATACCTTGTTAGATGAAGAACATTGTTAAGGCAAATATTTTCTGAAAAGGCTGTGCATATTTTGATATGCTTGTTCTGTATTTGCATTTCAGGAGCATCGCACTGAAATCGATGCACGTGCTGGCACCTTCCAGGCGTTTGAAGTGTTTGGCTACCAGCTCCTGCAGGCACATCACTTTGCCTCCGACGACGTCCAGGACAAACTCAATGAGCTGGCCAAAGCCAGGGAGAAACTGGAGAAGTAAGTGCTGGAAAAACCTGTGGCAAAAACTAGGGAGAGGAAAGATGTGGAAGTTTCCTTAAATTTGTATATATAGAAAAAAATGTTATGTATACGTACGTTATCATAATAAGTTATGTATATTTTGTGGAGAAGTCTGCATCTACTAGAATATGTTCCAAAAGAAAAATATCCACTCACTTTTTTTGTCCAGAGCATGGATTGCCAGACGCATGAAGCTAGACCAGTGTTTGGAGTTGCAGCTATTCCTGCGTGACTGTGAACAGGCTGAGAATTGGATGGCAGCTAGGGAAGCATTCTTAGGGGGAGACTCCACTGATGGTGCCCCAGACTCCGTGGAATCCTTGATCAAGAAGCATGAAGATTTTGACAGGGCTGTCAGTGCTCAGGTAATGAGGACCAGACCAATGCACTGACCACTAACTTTGTCACGTGAAATGTTGCTTCTACACCCTCCTTTTACTGCTATATAATTTCACCCTCTTTTAATCTGTTGTAAAGAATTTTAGTTCTTTGCACTGTGCCTGTGTATTTTATGAGTTTTTAATTTGTTCTTCTTATACTTATTCTAAACTTTGTAATACAACTGGCATAAATCACCCTTTCTCTTGCTCACATGTTTGATATGCTACTAGAATCACCACAGTTATGTTCTTCCCACTTTCTGACGGTTAATTTTAACAATCTTCACCTTTGTTATATTGTGCATTGTCCTACTGGTAGAGTTGGTATTGATTTGCAAGATAAAACAGTTTCAGCTTCAGGACCTTCAGTTTATTCAGATGGTGGTAAGTGGTTATCCAGTTCAGCTTTTCTGAACAGAGACCTCAGTCCTGCTGCGTAGATAAAAGAATATTCCAGTGCATGACAGTACATTTGCTGCAGTTTTATGAAAGCAGAGCATTTCTACTGATTTTTAATAAAATTGTCTCCTTTTGCAACTCTCAGGTCAAATTTTCAGCTTGCAGTAAATTGATGTTGTTGTGGCTGCATGTCTTTTTTCATTTTGAGTGATTAACTTGTTTTAATTACTAAATTTGCCCATTAAAGCAGTTTATTGTCTGATGCTCAGTTGCTGTCATTGACTGCTGACCTGAAATTGGAGTCGCCATTTCTGTGCCATATTGACAAAAATAAAATGGCACTTCTCAGTATAAGGAAAGGGCAGATTATCTTGTTGTCAGATCGCCATGGCATTAAGATACCTTGTTGTCAAATCACCATGGGAGCAGGGTGTCCTGTAGCCAGACATGTCTTTAGACATTTGATGTATTCAAACTGCATGTGTGTGGCATCCGAGTCCATCATGGTCATAACTAAATTTGAAGCAAAAGTTTGGGATTGATGAATTTTTTTCTCAATGACTAAAGAAATATTTAGCATATATGAGAAGCATAATTAAGCTTGGGTTTTGTAAGTAATGATGTCATATTTTTTTATCCTTTTAAAAATTCAATTCTGTAAAATTAGAGGACTCACAATATCCTTTACTCTTTGGAACATAGTATCTTTCGCAGTTAACATACATCAAGAAGTGCTCACTGTGTAGATTTATATTGTGAATTAAGAAACAGGATCTTCAGACCTTTACATTGGATATTCACTTTACTGTTGAATATACCTTATCTATGGGTTCCAGATAGTGTGTTTCATGGAGTTCACATGTGTCGTCTGCTACATTTCAGGAGGAGAAGATTGCCAGTCTGGAGCAGTTTTCAGAGCAGCTGGTGAATGCTGACCACTATGATAAAGACTCCATTGAAGAGAAGAAGGCAGAAGTACTGGACAGGTGATGAGAAGATGGATTTGAAATTTAAAACAAAGCAAATTCGTCATTTGAAAAAATGAAATGATTAAGCCTGTGTTAAAAGATAACTCAGTGACTAAGTAAAGGTCCACTATACAAATTGAACTCTGTCACAAAGAATATTTGAAGTTGCTGTGGGATGCTTTAGGATACACTTTCATCATACAAAAATGTCTCCTTACTTTTTAGATGGGCCAACTTGAAGAGTGCTCTGATTGAGAATCGTTCCAAGTTGGGCGAGGCACAAACCCTGCAGCAGTTCTGTCGTGATGCTGATGAGATGGAGGTCTGGATCACAGAAAAGGTGGCGCTAGCATCAGATGAGTCGTACAAGGACCCAGCTAATGTACAGGCCAAGCACCAAAAACACCAGGCCTTTGAGGCTGAGTTGGCAGCTAACACTGATCGTCTGCAGGCTACAATTGCTGCTGGACAGAGTAAGTGACCACTTGATAAATGTGTACATGTTTTCCATTCTCATTTGATAGATTCTTTTTTCTTGACCAATACTTTGGTCCTTTTTTCCCATATTTCTTCTGATTTAAATGAATTTGTTAGTTGTAAAGAGTTAGAAAATTAGGGTTGATCCCAGTGGAGAAACAATAAGCTGCTCAAGAATTTTTTTTTTTTTTTTTTCAAATAACTAATTTTTATTTTTGTGTAATTGAAATATTCTTTTTTTTTTTCTGTTCTATAATTCACATTAGTGATTGCTCTGTGTATGATATTGTAGAGTTGGTGGAAGAAGGCGGTAAGTGTCCAGTATTGCATTGACTGACCACTGGGACTGGTGGTCAGACTGCCTGCTTGGAGTGGTGTTCAGTTCTGCATCTTGTACATTGCTGCATATGACAATGATTTGGTTCCAGTTAGTTCCAATACGACCTTCACTTGACCTTAATGACCTTCACATGACCCCAACATGGCCTCCATTTGATCTCCATATGACCTTCACTCATTCCCACCACAACCTTCATTAAAACCACTATGACCTTCACACCAGCCAACATTCACACTTGATCACCACTGTACCTACATCACAAAATGATATGAGATTGAATTTATCTTATTCCAGAAATGTGCAACTCACAAGGCTGCCACAGAAACCCCTGCAACATTAATCTTAGAGAGAGCAGTAGTTGATAGTTGCATGATTGAGATCTGTGAATTTTGCAGTTAGATTTCAGGGTGTTAGAAATAGTTATTTGACAATTTCACTGCCTCTGTCTCCCGACACATCCAGCCTCTCTCTGTCTCTCCCTTTATTTCTTGTCAGAATCTGTGTATTTTAGAGTTTAAAGCTGGTTTCCAAGGATACTTTTATAAGAACCCTCCTTTGAAGATATGTTGTGCATGTCTCTTGCAGCATTGTCTGTGGAAAGCTTTTTCTAACAGAAGACCTTTTATAAAAGCTGAATATGTGCCTTCTTTTAACCCAAGTGGGGAAAATTATTGAACAAGGTAAAAGCTGGGTCAAGGTTGCTCAATATATTTATATATGTCAAGGTCAAGGTTGATAATTGGTTTAATATCAGCCATGGCATGGTACACTGTGTGGACTGAATGGCAGCTGGGACTAACCTTGAATAATATGAACATGCTGTCAAATAAGGGCTGGGTTGCAAAGAGTGGCCTTAGTGCCTTACTTTGCATTTGGTTTCAGATTCAGAGAAAATTTCAGTGGACGATACAGGATTGCAGGATATAAAAAAGGGGAGCACTGATTCATTGTTTGGAATTGAATTAACCCATCTTCTAGTTGTCTATATACTAACTATTGACTATAGAAATTAGGGTTTTGTTAGTGCTTACTATTTATCTTGGGGATGATTTAATGGAATGGTTGTGTGTGTTTCTCCCACGGAGCATAGCTAGGTTTGAGGAAGTGTATTAGTGTGCCTCCATATTATACCAAAGTTTGGTCATTACTGTGAATATTCCATGTTCTGATTCTACAGTAGTGATGTGTGTGTTACTGTATGCAAGAGTGGGGGAATTTCTTAGATCTGGGCACCATCCCCTTTATCATGTCTTTAAAGTGACAACTTAAATGATACTGGTTCAAGCATGCAGGTGACCAGACAGAACATAGATTGTACTACAGAACAGTGATGTCTGTGATATGAAACCCCTGGACTTCATGTAGTATGTAGACATGGTCCACTTTCAGGTTCACATTCCATGTAATTTATAGGGAGAGGTGGACAGGGTTGATCTTTTGAATATTGCAATTTTAAAAGACTGGAAGCTATACATAATTTTAAACACAAAGCATTACACAGATAAATGTTTCTGAAATTTTCCAGTTCTCTATTTCATTTTCTGAGCCTATGTTATATAGCTTTGGTTAATCAAAGATTCTATACCAATTGCATATAAGACTAATTCACCTCAAAATTACCAATTTAATTCAAATGGATGCTGCATAAATTCACAAAACAGAGAAATAATTTGCAGAAATGACCACATATTTCAGCCAAACTAAATTATTGTCCATAGCCATGCATGTGAGTACAAACCCTGTTTTTGACTGAGGAGAAGACCTATCAGTCACTGCATATGCTGCATGTAATAATCTGGGATTTTTTTCCCGCTTTTCCAGACCTGATAGACGAGGGGAAATGCCAAGGCCAGGAGGAGGCTGTGAGGAAGAGGATAGCTAACCTGGCTGAGCAGTGGGAATACCTGGTGGTGAAGACTACAGAGAAGAGTGTCAAGCTGAAGGAGGCCAGTAAACAGCAACAGTTCAACGCTGCTGTCAAGGATATTGAGTTTTGGCTGGGAGAGGTATGGACGGCCTGGAGAAGCTGAAAAATTAGAGCAATATTTTAGACTCGATCATTTCCTTTCCCCTTCGTTTTCTTTTGCTTTGAGAATTTATAATTTTAACATTTATATATATATAATATTATTCTGACAGGCAAAATTTGTCAGTGAACAGTATAGCTATAATCTCATACACTAGAAATAATGATTGTATATAATGAATATTGCTCTCAGTAGTTGTAAATGCAGATAATTTTTTACACAAAAAATTCTAGCTGATTTGTAGCCAGTTTTTATGTTATGTTCCAGGTAGAGCAATTGCTGCAGTCACAGGAATATGGCAAGGATTTGGCCTCTGTGCAAAACCTGCTGAAGAAACACCAGCTCCTGGATGCTGATATTACTGCACACGATGTAAGTACACAGACCTAGAGCCAGCAGTTTTATCCTCTTAGTTGACACAACCTAGGAGACAACATATAACCTAGCTAAAAATTGATTCAGTTTTGAACTTTTTTTACCAAAGGTTTTTTTTTTTTTTTTAATGACTTGGACCATTTTGCTTATGACCTTTTGCATTGTCATATAATTTTTTAGTTCTGCTGTCTCTTTTATTGTAACCACAAAATTAAGAAATTTTGACTTCCTTGGTCTACAAACATATTTATCACAGTCTTGCCGTAAAATAAATATAATCCCTGGCACATGTATATGCTCCTTATACTTCAAATGTGCACAAAGTTATCAAATTTTCCTTCCTCCTCCCCCCAGGACCGTATCAAGGACATGAACAACCAGGCTGACCAGTTTATAGAGGGCGGTGGCTGGGACCCTGAGTCCATCAGAGAGAAGAAGAACTCTATCAATGAGAGATATGAGAAGTAAGTTAAGACAGTGGTGTGTCCAGTGTATTGTAAGCAGTGAAGGTGTACCTAATATTGCTAGTGCACACATCTTAACTTTGTGGACTGATTTGTTTTTAACTTTTGTTATATGTTAGAGAACAGATTACTGATATGGAATAAACATACATACATACATATGGCAGGAAGTCTTCTGTGATGGCAATATAGGAATTGAGTCTGTGTTGTTTTGATTAAAAGATAGTGTGTCAAAGCCTAAGTTACTGTCTTAGGCCCCTTTCCTACCAGCCTCTTAAGTTGTACCCATGCAAGTGTATTGTAAAATATCATCTTGGTCAAAGGAATTATTTACACTGATTGATAAATTTCCAGGATAAAGGAGCTGTCCAAGGACCGCCGCACCAAGCTGGAGGAGGCCAACACCCTTCACCAGTTCTTCAGAGATATTGATGATGAGGAAGCTTGGATCAAGTATGTACACTGTCTTCAATGTGTTTACAACAAAGTAATTTAGACCACTTCTAAGGAATGAAAATATTGACTGCAGCAATGAAAGAAGAAGCCACAGATGTGGAGTTAATTTACTTTTTCTTAACGATTTTGTCTGTGCACAGTGTTTTTCATGTTCAAGACTGAAGCAGTGTTATGCTCAAACTGAAAATTAATATGAACTTATTATTGCAAATAATGATATGTAATCTTAATTTCCTAGAGAGAAGAAGTTATTGGTGGGATCTGATGACTATGGTCGTGACTTGACTGGTGTTCAGAACTTGAGAAAGAAACACAAGAGACTGGAGGCCGAACTTGCCAGTCATGAACCAGCTATACAGGTAAGTTGATATGTATGCTGATAGTATTCCCACATTTTAACCCAATCACACATGTAATGATGAAGTTACAAAAAACATCCTTAGCCCCACCTGAAAGTCACATCCCTTGCTATGTTGTAATCCTACATTGCCGCATTGTAGGCAATTTTTATAAGGTTTTTTTAATCACTGTAACATATATATAGTATCAATAGGCTGTTATCTCATCCAATATTCAAACAGAATATTAAAACATTCCTGTAACTCTTTCCTCTTAACAGTATGAGAGCATAGGGTATGTTTAGATTCAATATCATCCATTCTTACCTGACCCCCATTGTATTGCAGGCTGTCCAGGAGACAGCAGAGAAACTGATGACAGAGACCCAGATAGGCAGTGAGGAGATTGCCAACAGACTGCAGCAACTCAATGAGAACTGGGAGGAACTGAAGCAGATGGCATCTAACAGGTCAGTGCTGCCTCATGGTCCTGTGTGGTGGGATATATTAGATATACTACAGTTGTACAGGGAAAATCTTATTTGTTTTAGGCTCAAGTACAGTTAAGGGATATAATTGATTAGAACCCTTGCATTGTGAAAAAAATTGATAAATGTTCATCTCAGGTTTTCATAATCACTTTGTGTAGACTAATATTATTTTCAAAATTATTGATGAATGAATTTTTAACACTATGAAACTTGGGAGTCAGAATGATTATTGAAGCATTTCAATGCTGACTTGTAAGAGAGACGTCATATAAAAAACCATTCATTCACTGAATGAAATCAAACTCTACATTATCTCCAGGGGCCAGAAGCTGGAAGAGTCCCTGGCCTACCAGCAGTTCAGTGCTAACATTGAGGAGGAAGAGGCCTGGATTAATGAGAAGCAGCACCTGCTGTCTGGGGAGGACTACGGGGACACCCTGGCTGCTGTACAGGGGCTGCTGAAGAAACATGACGCCTTTGAGACTGACCTCAGAGTTCACCAGGACCGCTGTACTGAGATTAAGACCAACGGAGATAAGCTGATTGATGAGGTAAGGATATGTCTGAAGGAAGAATTGCTCTCTTGGATGAAAAAAAATGGCTGTCATTTTGTATTTTGTTCTGCTTACACAAATATTTTCACAAGTAATCTTGCTGGTTTTAAAGCATGTCAAGTCTGTATGTTTTGCTTACATGATTTTTTTTTAAATTCAAAGACATCTGTCATTCTAGCTACAAGGACAGTTCATTTGTTATTTGCTAAGTCATGCTTTATGAATAATCTCAATGTCCATAACAATCAATGTACATTATGAACAACAGCTTTCACGTGGAGGATGAGCAATTTAGTTTATATAAAATATTTAAGTATATACCCACTCTGATATTTTCCAGGGCAATCACAATGCAGATCACATTGCCTCACGCTGCCAGGCCCTGATGAACAAGATGGAGGACCTGGGAGAGTCTGCCAAACACCGCAAGGCCAAGCTTATTGATAACTCTGCCTTCCTTCAGTTTATCTGGAAGACCGATGTGGTGGAGAGCTGGATTGGTGAGTGATGTCTTTGTGTGTGTATGTGTGTGGTAGTGTGTGTAGCTCAAGTATTGTCTGTGTGTATGCATGTGTGTAGTGTGAGTAGAATATATGTGTGTAGGACTTAGAAATATACTAAAGTTTTGCTGTTATATGAAGAAAGTAGATGTCACAAGCAATTGAGCTCACTGGTTCTATATAGCATGTACATTGCATTTATTTATTTATGAGAATTTTAAAATCATTTCTTCTTAGAGGTGTAATTTGTTGACATTTCTAAAACCTCAAGTTTGATAGCCATAATATAAAATGTCTCCACTAACTGACACCTTGTATTGCAGCTGACAAGGAGACACAGGTGAAGTCTGAAGATTACGGCCGCGACCTCTCCTCTGTCCAGACGCTCCTCACCAAGCAGGAAACTTTCGACGCTGGTCTCCAGGCTTTCGAGAAGGAAGGCATCCAGACCATTACTGCTCTGAAGGACCAGCTGGTGGCTGCTAACCATGCCCAGACCCCTGCCATTCAGAAGAGATATGACTATGTCATTCAGAGGTACGAGATGTGTATAACCTACTGATATTGCTGGTCTGAGACAGTAAAAACTGTCAGGTGCACAGATATTGTTTTGTATCCATTTTCTTCGGTTCACCTCTCTGAAGAAAGTGATGAGAGATTTATTAGTAATAAAATTTCAATATAATACTTCTGAACCTCATCTTTATTTCTTTGACAGAAGAATTTGTTCATATGATATTATTTTTATTATTATGTGCATTTGGAAAGATTTACAAAATATATAGAAAGGAAGAATTATATCAGAGAAAAAATGTTAAGATGACGTTTTGAATCGATCATTTGACAAATGGTGCAAAGTGTCAGCTTGAATTGATAAACTTCTCATTTCCCCACCAGATGGCAGAAGCTCCTGGCAGACTCTGAGGCCCGCAAGCAGCGTCTCCTCCGCCTCCAGGAGCAGTACCGCCAGGTGGAGGACCTGTACCTCACCTTTGCCAAGAAAGCGTCTGCTTTCAACAGCTGGTTTGAGAACGCAGAGGAAGACCTGACTGACCCAGTCCGCTGTAACTCTGTGGAGGAGATCAAGGTAGTATAGAGAGACCCAGCTGGTTTTACGTTTTGATCAAATTTATATGTGAAAGATACAGTGCTGTGGGGGAATGGTATTGTTTTCTGTTTTGCTTTAATCATCAGGATCAAAGGTAGTGTGATTCGAAGTTTACGTGATTTATTAGAAATAAGTCATGATAAAATAAAGGAAGTATAGTAGTTATGAAATGATATTAAAGAAAACATTTGACACCCCTTTCCCCACCCCTTTCCAGGCCCTGCGTGAGGCTCATGACCAGTTCAAGGCATCCCTCAGTGCTGCCCAGGCAGACTTCAACCAGCTGGCTGCCCTGGACAAGCAGATCAAGAGCTTCAATGTGGGCCCCAACCCGTACACATGGTTTACTATGGAGAACCTGGATGACACCTGGAGGAACCTGCAGAAGATCATCAAGGTAATCGGCAAGATAGAACTGATTTAGTGTCTGTGTATGCGAGATCCCTGATCCTCTGCATGTTTTGTGCTATTTTGCTTATTTTTTTCTCAACAGTTAGACCTATCGTATAGTTTTTGAGATAAAGTAGATTTCATGAACTGTATGAAAATTATTTGTATGATTCGTGCTTTAAAAACCTTCAGCAATATGCTACTTAAGGATGATTAGAGAAAATGCTTCCAACTACAAACAAAAATGTTTCAAGCAAAGCAAGGCATTACAAATCTTTAACCTATGACCTATTTATTCTTGTTTTCTGATCTAGATATTTACTCAGTTTTTGTGTTTTCCAGGAGCGTGATGCAGAACTGGCTCGTGAACAACAACGCCAGGAAGAGAACGATGTGCTGAGGAAACAGTTTGCACAGGCGGCCAACGCCTTCCACTCATGGCTGACAGAGACAAGGTCAGTGGAGTATATTGATAACAGAGCCCTCTAGTGTCAGCTCAGTGTACCTTTGCTGGCATCAACATTTTGATTTGTTCCTAAATCTTGAGAAGTTTAGACCAAAAAAGATCTAAATTTTTAAACAGTTGATTCAGATTATGTTTTATTTCTTGAAAACTTATTTGAGTAATGGAAATGAGAATTTTGGGGGAAAACATTTACCAGTTGCCATGTTTCAATAATCTATATTAATTTTAGGGATGTCAAGATAAATGAACAGTCTGATATTTAATTGATGCAGATAATGATGCATGCCTTAAATTATGTTTATTGTTTTGCCATATCCCATATCTTACTCCTCCCAACTATAAAACAAGATAAACTTGACTCTAGAAAATTCCTGCTAATAGCATGTGACATTGACAAGCTGTGCATGTTATATGAATGCAGTCAAGTACATATTCTGTGTATGCAGTTTTCATGTATTTATATGCCACAGAAAGAAGATAGAGTTATGCATGTAGCAAAGAAAAAACGTAGCCACTGAAATGGGGTTAAGGTCTTGACTTATATCAAGCTTTTGCATTCTCTGAACATGTATGTACATGTGTATGACTGTCATACTTAAGACTAAATGGTTTGAGTGTTTTGTTAGTGCAGAGTGATGAATCTCATTGTTGTAGCCGAGTGACAATAACAGTATGTTTGTTTTACATGATTCTACTGGTAATAGTGTTATACAACATCTTGGTATTTAATTCGAGGCATGCTGCTAAAACTTTAACATCCCAGCAATAATGAAGTATTACTATAGTCAACAGTTGGTCAGTTGTCTGCATTGCTGACCACACCTCTACTGACCATATTTTAATTATCCACCCTTGCTTGACCCTTAGAGGCTGAAATGGGCAGGAAGGGAAGGGGGGTAGAAATGGTAGCACTTAAGACCCGTTTTCTGAGTATTGCCTGTACTTGAATTTATTAAGCTTCAGTGTCACTCTACAGGCTGATTTTAGTGCATTGAATTTTATTAGTGAACTATGAGTTAAATAGAATAACACTACCTTTCTCTAAACCCAGCATCTATTAACCCCTTGTTTGGATGGTGTATTCTAGAAAACAGGGTAGTCTTCAGGTCTTTGAAGCATGGTTAATGTCATGTTTGTTAGAGAAACAAAACAAGCAGCAGCATCAGTAGCATTAGGATTCCCTGCATTATTAGTAGGCTAAATCCTTGTTTGGTTTTTAAGCTAATTGTCCCCAGGCTGGTTAGTTAGTATCTGGCTATTTTGCTCCCTGCTTCAGCATGGTAGTTAAAGTTTAGCAGAAGGATTAGCCCTGTTTGTAGGCATATGTTGAGTCTGATGAGCTTTTACCATTGCCTCTCATGATGCATTTGTTGCAATGGAAATTAACGAGTTATAGGATATTTTTGAAATTTCACAAGTGTATTTTTAATTGAAATTGAGAGAAAATTTTGAAGAATTTGAAATTTTATTTAAGTTGTTTCAAACAAGATTTATTTATCTATTTATTTGCTTTTGTTAATAAGCCTTCGTTTTATCACTTGTTAAATGTTTTTTAATACATGTCAACTTCTTGTTCCCTCCATCATCGATGTTGTTACCTGCATTGCTGATGACCAGGATGTGGCTTCTAGACCCGTAAATATCTCTTGGTTCTTAGCATGCCAGTATAAGATTTAAATGCAGTTGAAGTTTATATTGTGTTTTATGTGGTATTAAAAGAAAAGCATATTTTTCTGCCAGGGTTTTATATTTTTATGTTCTGAAATAGCAGACTTAATATTTACGTAGCACACTATGGGTGTGGGTTTGCTTGAAAATTTAGTACAAGGGAAAGGCATATAGCTAATGCTATGGGTATGATTGTTATCTGTGTGGAAGAAGGGATGGAGATCAAAGCTTTTGAAGTAATGTAAGGCCCCCAGTTGACTTGCTTTGTTTTAAAAAACAAATGCTCAGTGATGGGGTTAGTTATGTCTCCGTAAAATGCACAAGCAGTGTATGAAATGTACTAGATGTGAGGGCTGTTGTGTGAGATGATGAATACAAAAAACCTTGGTTTAATGAACCACAGAAACTTACAGTGTATTCAGTTACTATGGTGATATAAGGAAAGACTATAAAGATCATGGGGGACACATCCATTACGAAAAAAGTAAAAAAGCACATGGGGATCAACTCCTAAAGTAATCCCATCTCCCTGGTAATTTGAAAACACCAGTGACAATAAGGTGTATACGTGGACTTGTGTGATATATGTGTGTCAAGCTGTAGGTGATATATAGTTATGGTAAAAAATGATGAATTCTGTTCTTTGTGGTATGGTTATGGTTATGCACATGTGGCTGTAAGATTCATCACTTACATGAGGAATTGTATGTTGCAGTATATTTAAAGTTTATTATTATTATTTAGGGCCCCAACTTCTTATTTTGCTTTTCTTCTATATAAAAATTACCAGGATTTTCTTTAAACCAAACCAAAAATGTAAAATCAACTTATGGACACATGATGAAGAAAGATAAATATTCATATACAAATCAGAATACCATATAGCCTTAACTCTGCTATAATGATCTCACATTATACTTTCATCAAGCAGTACCTGGTACTCGGTGTCATTGTTTTACACTTTAAAACATTTATTTTAGACAAAAAAAATCTTTAAGTATTCGTTTAACCTATCTAAGAGTATCTGCTATAATGTTTGTTGCTGATAAAGTGTTCATACAACTTACAAGTCTGTTGAATGTGTTTCAGGCAAGCTATGATGGAAGGCACAGGAACTTTGGAAGACCAGCTTGAAGCTACAAAGGTAAGATGGTTATATTGTGGAGTAAAATGTGCCTTGATTTCCATTTTTTGACTGTAAAGGGATTTTGTAAGAATTTGTGTGATTTGTTTTTCAGAAAATATTGCCTATAAGGGCCTGCTTAGATTATTTTCTTTGTTTTTGAATTGATAACAGACTGAAGTATGCCTCTAGGGATGTTTATTTTATTTTTAATTATATGTGTGATGGTGTATACTGTGAACTCGGTATAATAAAATTTATTTAATGTGACTAAGGTACAGATGGACTTACTAGATTTACTTCAAATCAAATCCAATCTAATTCCAGAAAAAATCAGCAGAGGTGAGAGCTCAGAAGGGACAACTGAAGAGAATAGAAGACCTGGGTGCTGCACTGGAGGAGAGGCTCATCTTGGATAACAGGTAGGAAGAAGCTCCATCTATACCTTTATCACCATCATAGAGCTAAAAATGCCATAGTTTTGTAGTCATATGCTAAAGCAGCTCTCTTCACCACTTATTTAATTATACAGGGGTATAGGGGAGAATTAAAATTTCATTCTTTTTAAGAATTTCTATGATTATGATGCATATATGAAAAAGACGGAATTTAAGCTAAACAGATTTACAAAATGGCTGTGATATGCATTGGTTTGTTAGTGTACAAGATATCCCTAAAAAGTTCTCCACGAATTTTGATAAAATTTTCAGGGTGGACAGTTATTCAGTTGAGAAAGAAGTGATGTACAATTTCCACTGAATTCAGGACTCCATTAAAAAAAAAAATTATCTTTATCCTCAGCCAAGGTTGATCTTCACTCTTGAAGGTGTTCTCTTATTGTCTATGCTGTGTGTGTTGTATTCCAGGTATACAGAACACAGTACAGTGGGTCTGGCACAGCAGTGGGATCAGCTGGACCAGCTTGGGATGAGAATGCAGCACAACTTAGAACAACAGATCCAGGCCAGAAACCAGAGCGGTGTCTCTGAGGATGCCCTCAGAGAATTCAGTATGATGTTCAAGTGAGTGGATTTATTTTCACACAGCTAGGGGCTGTCTTAATCTGGGTAGATTTATTGAAGTAGTGAATGAGTACATTGTACTAAGTAAAAGCTATAAAGTGAAAGATACAAAGTGATTATTTTCAACGTAGCATTTTATTTATCCTGTTATTTTTCTGTTTTTTCTTCCACCCAAGACATTTTGATAAAGACAAGAGTGGCAAAGTTATATACCTTTCCTTATTATTTTTCTTCCACAGACATTTTGATAAAGACAAGAGTGGCAAGCTGGACCACCATGAGTTCAAGTCCTGCCTGCGTGCCCTGGGGTATGACCTGCCAATGGTGGAGGAGGGACAGGTGGACCCCGAGTTTGTAGCTATACTGGACAGTGTGGACCCCAACAGGTTAGATAACACACAGATGAACATTTTCTTTAGTTTCAAAATTCTCTCCATGTGTGCAATGCTCAGGTTTATTGTGGGAGTCTCAGTTCCCAACCCTGACAGTTTAATGATTTTTTTTTTCATCTATTTAATTTTTATTCCTGTCATAATGAAAGTTGGTTATAACCATGAAATTAACTTAATAGGGACTGCAGGATTGAAATAACCACACAAGCATAATGTGTTATAATCAGGAGTTAAACGGACTATTCTTATGATAAAAGTAGAAGTACATTTCCCAAAACACTGTGAAGTCTAGACATGGTAGTACTAATCAGTGTTCCTATTGCAGGGATGGCTACGTGTCCTTACAAGAATACATGGCGTTTATGATCAGTCGGGAGACAGAGAATGTCCAGTCCAGCAAGGATGTGGAGGAGGCTTTCAGGGCCCTCACCTCTGGGGACAAACCTTATATTACTGCCTCAGAGCTTTACCAGGTCAGTAGCATACAGGCAGTGTTGTTAGTCTGAGTGCAGGCTAACTTACTTACTGTATGTGTATTAACTTAATTACAGCATGAATGTTACATGTCAGAAGAGATTTGCATCAAATATTGTTCTCTGTAATCGATAGTATGCATGGGAGAATGCTCATGTGATAGACAGAAACCAAATTGCACATGGTTGTATTTATATAAACTCATGTAACATTTTAATACAATCTATTGTTATTGCCATGCACTTTTAATAGAAATGTTGAAGACTACAATTTATTAAGTGTAAAGAGTAGTGAAGCGACTAATGGGTAAAAATTAAAGAAATTGAAATATTAACGATTTTGTTTAAAAGGCTGAGAGTAGTTGTCTCTAGAAAGTCCAAGTTATGGCAGTAGGATCTCATTTCAACTTATACAATTTTTCTTCCAGAACCTTACAAAAGAACAGGCAGATTACTGCATATCAAGGATGAAAAAATACCAAGACCCGAAGGGGCGAGAGATCATGGAAGCCTATGATTACGCTGAATTCACCCAATCTCTGTTTGTGAACTAGGAGCCATCTTACCCTTTTATGATGTTTATGTAGACTGCGTATGTTAGCTGCAATAGAAGTGAATCTGTTTTTAGGAAGGCAACTCAACTGGACAGCTTTTATCAAACTTCTCTGAAATAAATTGCATTTAAAATATGAAGCAATAGACTTGCATTTGAGAGCTTTTACATGAAGATCGTTTTCTTACTCTGTAGTAGCCCAGGAGAAGTATTTTAATATGTCTAAAGGTCTTAACGTGTGTACCAGTATTCCATTCAACATCAGAAATTTGACCTACCATAAAAATGGTAGAAGAACTTCGACAACCTCAAAGTTTCTATGAATGGTTCATTTGTTTACCACCAGGTAGCAGCACAAGATGGTCAGACCCAACTGGTCATTTTATACCATCTTTTTAATGACCAACTGGTCTGAATGATGGGAGATATTAAACTTTTTTTTCCTAGAATGTTTCCTTATTGTTGTGACTTAAATGCTGAACTGTGGTACTATGTAATAGTATATTATAGTGGTGTAAGCTGAATAGCTGTGTTATGACCAGATGGAACAGCATTGCTTAAAGATTTTGAACTGGGCATCACTAGAATTATACGATAACATTGTAATAGCTTGTTACTGCTTAAGGTTAAGTAATGGTTTTTGACAAAAAGCAAAAGTTGAAGAACAGAGTGTCATTGGAAATATTTACATCTTAAATGTAATTATGTTTCTTTATACATGTTTGTTGATGTCTTATTAACTACCAGATTTGAACCCTGGACATGATGTTACGTGGAAAATAGGAGGAAGTCTTGAATGGCATTTACTTTTACACTTGTATCTACATGCTTTTGATCGCCATGTGAGTCATGGTGGCTGATAGTATTGTGATGTACTGCAACACCAAGCTATTCTCATTTCTTTGTACTGCTAATTCTGTAGTTGCTTCATTTCTTCTATGAACAATAAAGAGTGCTTTTAGTGTCTTCACAGAGTTGTGTTAAATATACCTACAGGATATTTAGAGTAATATTCAAGACTTAAATACTTCTCACTATTTAAAGTTAAAGCTATACTCTATGTGTGTAAATGTGCCCCAAAGTCGTGTTTTCTGTCTAAATATCTTGTAATGGCACTTATCTTTCCAAATTTAAATATTTAAAATGATGAAACCCCTCGATGTCGATATTTCCATCGGAAATGTCAAGAAGACTGGTCTACAAGAATTGTGAATAGTTTAAAATTGATGTTCTCATTTGTTTAAAAATGATACAAAACAGGAACGATTTGGCTTCACAATGCCTTTAAACTTGACATTCTACCGGGTTACCTCACATTACAGCTACATTTTAAAGGGTGTGTACAGACTTGGTTTATTCCTTTTTTTCTGACTGATAAATGAAAACAAGGATTCAAATTTTAAAAAAACTTGTAATAATCTCTTCACTGTCACTGTGATATCAGTTCTTTTAAAACCTAAAATTGATCCACCAAAATTTAGCAAATAAAAAATACATGGCTGATTCTAAGTCAAACAACAACCAATTAAAGTTTGATTTGCATCTCCATACATTCAAAATTATCATCTGTGAAAGAGTTGTACACCCCGGATAAAAATTTACCACAAATGCACAAACTCACTCACAAACGAGCAGAGTAATGAACTTGCAAAAATATATTTTCGCAAGTAATGAAATATCACGTAGAAACGGAACGCAATTTTTATTATCTACATCACCGAAACGATTAAGGATTACTTTTTGAGAAAATCTGACGCGTTAAGTTTTAGACAAACATTTGCAAATTATATAATCCTTGATCTAACTGCATATCAATAAAGACGCTCCTGTTCAATTCACGTGAACTTGTCAATGTCGGAGCATGGACAAGATTACGAATTTTGTCCATGGTCGGAGTGAAACCCTTTAACTTGTTTCTGCACGAGATTTCATTACGTACTATGTAACTGAGCATGAGGTCAGCAGCTAATAAAGACGATAACGTAACCGAATCACGTGATCAGGTTTGAGGCGAGTGGTATAATAGAGTAGACTTAGCCTACTGATACTGCACTGTATATCTGTCAAAGTGCAAGCAGCGGGGTGAGACACTGAAGAACTGGAAACAGAAATGCTGCTGTCAAGCCGTAGACATCTCACACTCTAAATAGACAGCAGTTGATGCAAACGTTTCAGTCTCAGTAGATTGCATATTGTCGTACTTACCGTAGCTAAGATTAAATATTTAGATAAGGCACAGGATTAAGGCGTTCAATAAGCATACGGTTAAACACGGCGAGATACCACGACATTTAAGCGCTTATTTAACTTGCCTCAGTCGTACCCAAAATGAAATGGAACGTGTTGTCTTTGTTACATATTATAACATCAGTGACTTTTTTAACCAAGGCGCAACTGGATGGAAGACGATATCTGACAGAAGGTTTTGGCCAAGTTGAAAGTTTTGAACAAGCTGTTCAGAGGATTAATAGTTTGAACATCAAGTCAAAGCAGGAATCTCTGCAACAGATTCTGACGAATTCTCTAGATCACAAAGGCATAGATCTGGACACGATGGCAGCGTTCTTGGGGCGCCTAAGTCAGCTTAAAGCGCTGGACGTCAACGTCTCGGAAACGTGCTTCAATAGAACGGAACACTATCTTGGTGGTCTGATGACTAGGCAGATCTGGGCCTTACGAAGTGAGTGTGGTAATGTTTGCAAATAACATATCACTATGGGTTTTGTGGTGTGTTATAAAGCTCTATGTTGGCGGAGAAAGAAGAGAGCAGGGAGTATTTTCTCTCCTGTTTTATTTGGCTTCGGATTTAAAATTCAGACTTTAAATCGGTACTTTTTACAGTAGTCGAAGTAACGCTATTCATATGCATATATAGCAGGAGCTAAGAAAGGAGTGAAACATAAAACTTGCTCTCGATTTCTGTTATGAAAAGTGTGAAGGGAAATCGAGTCTGTTGATCGATGGTTTACCTATTGTATATGTCCTATAGGTTGATGGTGTAATACCGCCGGCCTGGATACCTTTACTCCCGTGACACATCAAGTACGCTCGCACTGCTAAGTATATAGTGTACATTCCGTTGGCGTTATCCAATCGAAATATAACGAACCTGGGTACGCATATCACCGTATTTACTCTTGACAATGATAAAAATTTATTCATTGATATGGCTCAACTCACTGACAGTTTATCATGACTTTTAAGCACTCACTTGATCGCCCTGATCTACATTATCTAAATTTCGCGGAAATTGTTGATAACAGATGTCAAAAACACAACTGATACACGCAAAATCTATAAATGCAGTAAAAAATATGTTGTATTTCATTGTGAAACGGACACCCTTAAAAAGCAGGTGATAGCCTCTAAATTGTCAAAATACGAACGAGTCTAGTGGGCTGCATATACATCCATTTTTTGCCTCTATTTTTTGCCATCCCGACAGCCGATCCAAAGACGACTCACCGATGCTGACAGTTGTCGTCACACACTTAAAGTGTGCACACCTTAGAATGCTAACCTTTGGATGGTGTCGAGATAGTAGAATTTAATATGACCGATAAAGTTAATATGTAACGCAACATTTAATACGGAGACTCTGCATGCATATATATACACACACACACACACACACGCACATCATATATCCAGTTTGTATCTCGACTCGCTGCCAGTTTTATTCTCACCCTTGCATATATCTGGAGAGTTCGTAAAATGTGTATTATATTGCATAGACCGATACACCTACATCGTTATCTGTCTGTCCGCTAAATTGGCTCCTACGGCGTACTTCAATCGTTACGTAATTCCATTTATGACCATTTATATATATAATAAAATGGGCTATTAATCCAAAAGGGAGTTATGGCCTCCATTTCAATCATTTGGAAAATAAGAAGATCAAACTTCTGAAGCATTTAACCATTTTCGATATGTTTACTTACCATCAAGTTTCCCGTTTCAAACACTGTGTAGAATTCAAGTTAGTGTAGAATTCATGTTTTCTTAAACATGGTTTATGACTTAAATGGGTCAAATGTGCACTATCTTTGACATGTTATTCGAAACTTTGGCATGTGTTATCTGAACGAAGAAGTGAAAAGTTTGATGCTTACAATGCTTTCAATATCCCACGAACGTTATCTCAGTGGGTTGGCTTATTTGATATTTTTTAAAATCAAAATGAAAATTAAATTTGTCTTGCTGGTTTTCATATGCATATATTTTCACAATTAAAAAACAAAGCTATTATGTTTCCAGTGTTTGACGCTACAACCAAATTACCGAGTGGAATACTGGACGGGAAAATGATTTGGACTGGGTCCTTTGATGAATGCACAAAAGTGAAAGCTACTGTCCAGATAAAAGTGAATGGTACAGACAACACCACCCATTTAGTCCCCACCGACCAGTTTGACGGACAGTACTGTATGCCCACTGTCCCAGCCCCTAAATCCATGGTAAGTTTTCATGAAGCTAATTGTGTACTTCCTTTTCCTGTTTTTGTTGTCTTTTTTTTTCTGTCTCATCATGTCAACGAGAAAACGCAATCTAAAACGAAAGTGAAACAGGTGACATTTATAAATGTAAATACATATTTTTGTCAGCAAACAAAATGCAAAAAATCTTTCTCTACACACACTGGACAAAAGAAGTGTCACCCCTACTGAGCCAATACTATGGGGGTGATAAATGACTGTGGAATTATATGTTCCTGGTATCATTTTATTAACATCAAATTTCACAAAAAATCACAAAATGAGAACAAAATATACATTCTACCAAAATATGTAGTTTCAAGTCCAAAATTAGTACTAAGTGGCATAGCCACGTGACCTAATAATAGGTGCCAGTCTACGAAGCAAGGATTCATTTTATTGTCTGATGCGTTCAGGGGTTATGCTGGCCCAAGCATGAAACACTGAATATAACAGAGTTTCTCTGCTGGTTTTGTAACGGGCATTTGTAAAAAGTTTTGACATATCATTCCACACATTTTCTATTATGTTTGAATCCGGACTCTGGGCAGGCCACATCACCCTGCGAATGTCCTGTTGGTCAAACCAATCATCAACTGCTCTGGGGCTGTGACAAGGAGCATTGTCATCCTGGTGAACAGATGGATAATTCTTTTCACCAAACATGTTAGTAATAGATGGTAGCAAGCCTGACTCCAAAACATCGATATATTTTTAGTGATTCATGTTTCCATTAACCACTATCAATTCGCCCAAGCCATGGATGCTGATGCAGCCCCACACCATGATGAATATGCTGCTCCGGGTTCGAAAATTCAGTGCATGTGGTTCAAATGCTTTACCAGCAGTTTGCCAGCATAGTACCCGTCTGTCATCAGAGGTCAGACCAAAGCGACACTCATCAGAAAAAATATATCGGACCAATTGCGATGGTCTGTCCTGTTCCAGATCCTTTTGGCCCTAGTTCACTCTACGTTGCCTGTTATGTAAAGATATAAGAGGTTTCAGTCTTGCTACCCTGCTGTACACTCTCTGAGCATGTAACCGACGCCTAGCAATTTTCACAGACACATTCTTATGTGTGAAATTGTTCCACTGTGTTGTCAACTGACAAGCAGTGTCGAACTTTGACAACCTGGACATCAAAATCAGTCGTCGGTCTTCACGGCCAGTATTTTTTCTTGGACGACCCATCAGAGGCAATTTGTCTCTTGATCCAGTGTTTCTATACCGAGACCAGACCCTCTGCACGGTTCTGACTGAACAATTCAATTGTATCGATATTCTGACATTGCTTATATTCCGCCTCTTCAGGTTAATAACTTGCACCTATAACCGTTAGATAATTACCTGTATCTTGCCATACTGTAGGAAGACAGGAATAACATTTGCTGTACATGTACAAGACTAACAATACAATTCCATGGTATAGCGGTTTTATACTCATTAGTCACATTATAAGTAGACCAGGCATTATAAGTACCCAAGATCTGCCTACTTTCATTACTCTGAGTTAGGGGGTGACACTTCTTTTGTCCAGTGTGTGTATTTCCATTTAACAATATACGAGATTGACGGCAAATTGTTTTTCGTACTGTCACCATCTTGTTTTGTCTCGGTTCTTTGAGCGTAGAACTTAAGCGTCCAAAATCATCTCATGATAGCAAATATAAGGCTGTTGGACTGCTGTTACCATCGTTTAGCACCTGAAGGCTTGCTTTATTACTTTGGCCTGATCAGACTTAATACACGATAGATCCTTTAATGTAGTAAGAGATAAACCTATAATCCTTTTGTTACTGTTGAACCAACAGCATCTTTTTCTACAAGTATATTGAATACATTGATAATAGTATAGGGTACAGGTTAATGAGTGAAGTCTATATGTGTACTTCAGGCTGCTTATGGTGTCAGCGGCATATATGTTGGAATCTGTGTACCTGCTGGATGCAGCGAAGAAGATGTCAAGGGTCTGGTTAACACATGTAGGTACTCGTGTACGCTATTAATAATTAATTCGTACTTATAATAGTCATTTTGATCCTCAAAATGGTTATTCACAAGGTTAAACTCAATATATCATGGATGTCAAATAGGTCCCGAGACTGTTTAGTTGGAGATGGCTATAACTGAACTGAAACAATGTGCATGCAATGATTCAACGATTTGCTTATTTTTCTTTTTTTAAATACCCATTACAAACGGTTTTCTAACTTTGCATGAGTGGAGACCAGCAGACAGTATGTTGCTGGGGATTATCCATTAAATTTGTGAAGAACAGGTGGTTTGCCATTTGTTCGTAATAAACTTCATACGAATGATTGACCAAAGTATGGATAATGAATTAATTTCTTTCAGTTTTGGCAGTTCTTGGGGTGAAAGAAGGTGGAGTTTCAAATGTCAATTGTGCACAAGTTGACAAAACGTGGACTTCAGATGCCATTGCTGTCGTGTGAGTAACTCTTCAACATACAGTATACTGTAAGTACCTTTTGGTTATAACACATAGATCCAGATATTCTGAACTAGAATTGCTAATAGAAAAGTCTTACACAATCATTATGAAAAAATCACAACTTTGTTCCAGGTGCGTAACTGGGGCTTTTGTACTCCTGGTTGCCATAGCAACTATTTATGACGTGGTCATCCAGCATAAGGAATCCCCGGAACCCACCGTGATATCAGTTCCTTACGGTGGGCAGAATATAACAGCCAATGGCAGCGTAGGTGACCATTCACTGCGGGTGGATGATTACACACAGTTGGTCAATAATACAGCCAATCCTTACGTGAAGAAAGTAAATCAAGCAGGTGATTGGTCTCAAAGAAAGCGGAAGTTAATGTATTATTACTCATGATACTTAAAGTGAATATTTTACTTTTTCTTTACAAATAGTGAAACTTGTTATAATGTGTACAGTACTGCAGATAAAAATACTTAAGCTTTATAAAACTACAATGTACCAGTAGTTATCATCACCATTATCATTTGTATTCTTTAAATGACATTCCCCTTTGGTATGCTTAACTCTCACACGTGTTCTTTTTCCCATCAAGATATTTCATAACTTTTGCAAGTTTATTTAAAAGCATTAAAACGATGCTCAGTACTGAAGAAAGTTCGTTTTACAAATTTAATCGTAGGAACACTTAGCAAGGTTATCCTAGCGTTTTCCGTGTACACGAACGGTGCCAAAGTTCTGAACACCAAGCAAGGCAGTGGCGCTCTCACTTGTGTCAACGGAATACGGTTTCTGAGTCTCTCCTGGGTTATTTGGGGACACTCGTACGCTTTTTGTTTTACATTCGTAGGTAAGTATACATAAAACGAAAACGGCTCAATTCTGTCACTGAATATTGAAAAAGACCGTCCAGTAAGGGACTTATACATATTTTAATAGCAACGCCCGTATAAGTATTATTTTAAATGTCATTTCATAACTTATGTCAGATCCTCGATTTTAGTAAGTTTCGGGGAAGGTGAGGTTGAAACTATAACCTATAATCCTTTTTAGATAATAAAATAAAGAGAAAAATACTTTTTCAATTGCCCCTCACTTCTAATGTTTAATGGATATACCATAATATAATAAATGACAATATTTTTACTGCCACTAATTTTTAGGAAACATAGGACCTATTTTTGAAGAATACAAGAACAGTTGGACTATGCAGCCACTGTGGTCTGGAACTTTTTCTGTAGATACGTTTTTTGTTATGAGGTAAAGAAACCGATGTCCGATCTTTTTAATTTGGAATCTTGTAGACAACTGACTCGGTAAGACGTTCATAGAATAATTTTTTTCTTTAATGTCACCACCCAAATTCATCAAAGTACACGAAAATGTTATATTCTGAGATTTTACAAATAGCATAGCATTCATAAATAATAAAAACAAACGTTTTGTTTTCATTGTAAAATAATTCAAAACATCTAGGATGGAATCAGATTCCTGGTTATAAGATGAAGTAAGCGCACACTCACACGTGCACATGCACGCTATCCAGGTGTTTATGATCCAAATCACCCTCGTGATCTCTACAGTTCCAATAATCAAACGAGAAACGTATATTACTATTGAACATTCAATTTTCTAACACAGAATAGTTAAGTAAGATATTTCCATGATTTTTCGTTTTTTTTTATTTCCATGATTTCTGTTTTTTTAAACTGTAGTGTGACTTATACTTCAGCGGTCTTCTTGTCACATATCTAACACTGAGAGAGATGAAGAAGGGGAGTGGTAGATTCAGGGTCAACTGGGGACTATATTATTTCCACAGATTCTGGAGGTAAATAAATAAAAAAACTTTTATTCAAGTAAGTTTAAAGAAGGGTCAATTTTTTGAGTATAAAAAATGGACGTTTTCTGATTTATAATACATGTATATTAATGACAAAATATGCCAGACTTGTAAGCTTTATGAATTGTAAAAATGAAAGCACACCGGGAGGGGGTGAGATTTGGTTAAAACTTTGTTTAGACATAAAAGAACAATTGTTTCAAAAATATACTTTTGATTTTAATATAATGGATGCACAAAAAGAAAAGAAATGAAACCAAATGCTACAGTGTGTATAGGGGAGAAAGGATCGAAAGGGTAATATAAAACTGTCACGCCGAAAATCTGTCCCTTTTGTATGTACATTCATGAAGTGTTAGAGGACAGTGTTGGACATGTAGGCATTAGTAACCATACTAGTACAGTACATTTCCAGCTTTTGATATATTTTGTTTTTCTTTCTTTTCTTTTTTCTTTTTTAAATAGACTTTCGCACTACCTGTATTCCCCGTTCTGGTGGACAAGAACCTTTCTGTTACACTACGTAAATGCTACATTGTAACGATTGTCTCACCCGTTTCTCACCAAACGCAATTTTCAATTTCAGATTGACTCCTCCGTATATGTTAGTAATGATGGTGTATGTTCCCACTTTCTATCTCTGGGGGAATGGCCCAGGGTGGCCAAAAGGTGGAATTGATCCCAACTGTAAGAACTACTGGTGGGCAAATATCTTGTACATCAACAATTTACTTGATATGTCGAAAATGGTAAGTAAATGCCGCCTGAAGTAAGATATATGTCCAAATTTTGTAAATTTGACACAGCAACACTCTCATGCTTAAACGGCTGGCATATTAAATAAGGCACTTTTTCACTTTGGCCCATAGACTATATATGAATAATCTTATGCACACCTGAAGAGGGTTAAAACTGCGCCATATTTCAGAGAAACTTAAACCAGTGTTCTTATGCGTGACGACACATCGCTGAGTATGACGTCCCTCACAAACAGCTTTGATTTTTACTTCCAGTGCATGGGTTGGTCCTGGTATCTAGCCAATGACATGCAGTTCTTTGTTATCAGTCCTCTAATTCTGTTTCCTCTGTTTTGGTAAGTAAGGACAACTTCATTTTTATAACAGGCACCTCTGCGCCCACCCTTAGACTTAGAGCAAAATGTAGTGAATATACTATCTAGAATAATATGTTCTGTCTCTTCCGATTGCTTCCTAAGTGTCATAATAAGGCTCCTCTTGCTGATCAGAAGTATTAAACCGATCATTCCACTATCATTTTCTTCCCGTTACATTTCAAGCCAAAGCCCATAAAACTTTTTATTACTTTTGTTGTTACATTTTTTAATTCTAGGGATGATGACACGGTTATTTTCTAAATTAATAATTGTAGTGTGAGTTACATTCTGTAGTGAGACTCTTGCCTATATTTTCTAAAACTGTGTTCAAATTGCTCCGTTTTGTATACTCGTACGTTTCTCATGCTTTACTTGTTGTATCTTAGTGTGGGCGCTGTTTACCATTTTGGGATTTTGTCTGAATCTGAATTCGTCACGGACAATGGTTCATAGAACGCATACAGTAACAGCTGTTTATTTCAGGAAAGAGCTGATAGGTCTAGTCATCCTACTGATACTTCTTCTAGGGAGTTTTATTGCGACAGGTGTGCTAGCCAATGTGAACCACCTTGAGCCGTCTAGCCAGTATAGTCAGCAATCGTAAGTCAAATAAGAAGAAGAAGAAGATTAAGAAGTTTTGATAACTCGCGCTCCACTTACGTCTGGGCGCTGTTTGTAATAACAGTACATGTAATCTGGAGTTATTTAATCATTGGAGGAAATACTCTGTGTAGTTGTACTTCAAATTCCAACGTTTTCTAAAACTCAATTGTTGTAAAAAAGGTGAAACAAAAAATGTATTTATGTGTGAGTTTCGTCAACCCGAGTTTCGGTAACGTTATTATTTAGTCGCGTAATAGTCAACATGCGGGGGTAATATCTCTCCCAGATATCTTTTGATAAAAGAAGAAAATTCATAAAAAATTTGTGTTTTTTAGGCAGGAATACATGGAGATACTATACATGAAGCCCTGGACGAGGATAGGACCTTATCTTGTCGGGATGGTCGCGGGATATATATTATACGTCACGGAGTGTAAACCTAAACTAAACTGGGTAAGTAGCGGATATGAAAGGAGACTTTCAGCCTCGTAAAAATATCTAGCATTATGAATTTAAAATGCAAAACACTCTTGTCAGATAACATACAAAACAAACAAACGGCATTATGCCATAGTAATTAGTACACATAGCATCAAATGTATGACGTAAGCTCCGCGCTGTGTGACGTAATTTGAAGTGTGGGTGACGTATGGCGCAAATTTTCGATGGACCATTTGTGAGATTTTGGACTCCAACCCCCCCCCCCCCCCCCCTCAAATAATCCTGGATCCGCCCCTGTTTTCCTTAAACGATTTGTCACACTTAATTGTGTTGTAAATTTTTACATTTATCTGCAACCTTCCAAGGCAACTTTTATGATATTCCAGGTGACAGCATTATTGGGATGGGCAGTGGCTACAGCAGCAGGTCTGGCAGTGGTGTACGGTCTACATGACGTGTATCAGGGCCATCCACTGAGTAACGACGTTAGTGCTTTATATATCACTGTCTCAAGAACGGTGTGGGGTGCCTGTGTAGCCTGGGTGATATATGCCTGCTGTACTGGATATGGAGGTAAACAACTGTTTCTCTGAATATGGTGACATAAATGAGATCTAATGAGGGGCTCGGAAGTTCACTCGCTTTCTCCCTTTTGATGTGTATATCGATGTTATGTGAATGTAAAATTTGTACGTGGTGTGTTTTACTTAATACCGTAGATACGTTATAAGATATGCCACCATGATGAAGCCAATAAGATAATTTAAAATTAATTTGTGAGGAATGCTACAATTTTCATCTTCTCTTCCAACTTATTTATTTATTTTGTTTTTACAAAATATTGTACTGCTAATGGTTATTATCAAAATATGAACTAGCTGGGCGAATGCTAAGTGTGAGACGATACTTTTCTACAACCTCTCATAGCATGGCCTATTCACAAATCAAATCCATGCTGCGAATTTAACAATAAAGATTAAAGGTTTTGTACATTTCTTTTTCAATTTTTTTTTTCAGGTTTTGTCAACACGTTGATGTCATGGGGTGCTTTTGTCCCCCTGGGTCGTCTGACGTACTGTGCGTATCTCGTCCATCCGGTAATCATGTACTTCGTGTATATGTCTAGGAGAACGCTAATCTACGCGACAGACGTATCCATGGTAAGTTCTAGCAAGTGACTGAGGCAGACCCTCCCCCCCCCCCCGTGTTAATTTCCTTGACGTTAAAAACATGGCGGGTATTCTGAGGAGTTGCCATTTTTTTAAGTTTAATTTCTTTTCTACATTCTTTAATGTACTCAGAAGTATTTAAAGCAACCAGCAAAATTCTACACATCGGCGCACCAATGTGCTATTTTTTTAAAGTACAGCCGTGCGTTCAAGCATCTTTTGATATTATATACTACAATATTAATTTTGTTTCCTCTTTACAGACGTACTTCTTCTTCGGCCACTTGGTAGCAGCCTATGGCTGTGCATTTGTGGTATCTATGATGTTTGAGGCTCCGATGATGGGACTGGAGAAGGCTATATTAAACAGAGACAAATCAGCTTAGGGAAAATTGGGAGTTATTATTAATATAAGTAGTGATGCCAAATTGCATTTCAGTAAAACGTCGTGAACTTTTTTTCCATCAGAGACATATCAGTCTTTTTATAAAGGTCCTTACAAAGAAACTTTCTTAAGTGTATATCAATATGTTATTATCAAACTATCAATTAACAGATGTTTGGCTAATTCAGTGTGGATGCATAGCACAAGAAAACACAAATTAGAACAAATGGTTGGAGCGCAATACAATGCATATAATAAGACCACATGAACAAGTGGTTATACGGGTCATCTAGACGGCACGAGCACCATGATTATCTATCAAAATACTTTTTTGGTACACACAGGCAAGAGAAATGGAATATGAGTTACAACATTCAGTGGAATTAATCGACTGGTTTAATTTGAAACAAAGCCATTTTTTATAAAGTGAAAACAATTACAACAATAACAATGATATATTTATAACAATTAACGACAAATTAAAATACAAACCAATTTGCTTGTTTTCATCAAAAGATAAAAAGCAATATAAATAAAATCTGTTCAAAACATCCCAATGAGCATATATGTAAAAGAGTAATATGGAGAGGAGAATCTTTAGTCGTACCACCGGTAAAGTGTCAAAGCCTCCAGCCAATGATTTGATGAAAAATGATTAAGCTAGTGGGATTTGAGGGTTTTCCTGCCCGTTTGTTCCATCCCAGCCTGAGAACTTTTTTTTTTGTGAACCTGAAGAATTTCCAGACAAAGTGCTTTGTCTGCTTCCAAATTTTATTGCAATGGTTTGAACACTTTTCTTTTGTCAAGAAATGTCGTCATAATTCAGATACATGAGGATCTTATTGGGAAGAGAGAGTTGCTGCAATTGGTTCCATAGGCTGTGTCCCTTTCCACCAATCACACGTCTGATAACAAGTCTGCAGTGAGATTTAAGACTTCTGGGAGTTTCTAAAAAAAAAAAAAAAGAAAAGAAAAAGAATCATTGTGGAATGCAATGTAGAAAGAACATCAATTCAACAATTAGATTAAAGGTGTACATGTACTTATGCAATGTGGGATTTGACACAAAAAAACGAGCATCAACACATTTTCTCTGGTTCCCTTATCCTTTTATCCTAAGTTTCTTCTTACCTATACTTCCATTAATGCCCTTATGTGGAGATTTAAAAATGAATGTCACACAATGAATATGGAACTGAAGGTAGGTGCTAAGTACATGCACCTGAGATGTTTTCTAACAATTTCTAAAGTTCAAAGATTTCTAACAGACACCAAACATCAAAGAAAAGAAATTGTGTTTGTGAGCGCAACAATTTTTTTAAATAAGGGTGACTTCTTATCATAAATTGTTCCAATAGAGTGAAATTTGATTTTACTTTTGGCTACTTTAAATTTTTTTCTCACACACACACACACACACACACACGCAAGCACATACACACACACACACACACAAAAAAAAACTTTTCCTTTCTCCTAGATTATTACTGTTATCTATTATTATTTTTATTATCATTTTTTTGTGGGGAGGTGGGGAATAGAGTCAAAAGAAATTTCAAAATTTGTGCGCTAATATAATATTTAAGATGTTAACTTACTCATTAATGCCCGCACCAGGTCCCTGCTAGCAGAGCAGTTTGGATGGACCTCTAAGTCCACAGCAAGCTGACCTTTGTGATCTTTGGTATACAAACTGGCACCAAACTCATACAACATCAACAAATATTTCTCGTCACAGTTCTGTCTTACAGCTGTGTGATACAGGGACTGATTGGAGTATTCCTCCTGTTGCTTCCCTTTACAACACAAGTCTGGGTCTGCCCCAGCCTGCAGGAGCATCTTAAAGCAGTCAAAGTGGTTGTAGACCAGGCTGATGTACAGAGCCGTGCTAGCCAGGGGACGCATTACTATACGACTGTTCACATTTGCACCATGGGAGATCAGCAACTGATGCAGAAATATTAAAAAAGAAAAATGTATGTTATTATCTAATGGGAACAAGTTTTCTCTACTATGTGATATGTTTGTTAATGTTTAAAGTTGTGTTATTCCCTTAGAGAGAATTCCAAATTTAAAATGATCTTCCACCAATTTTTACTAACTTGGCATATGTCTTTTTGCAGGGGGGGGAATCAAACAAAGCATCGTTTTTGCCGAGAAAAGGTCTGCTCTGGGTAAAATTTAATAGAGGAGCACAAAGGTTTCACAATGAAAGGTCCACTTTTTTGTAAAACTTTTAAGGAACCCCCTCTTTGAAATTGCTGGCTACGGACCTGATTTGTCCGTAGTCTTATACCTTAATAGCATCTGTATATCCATCCATGGCAGCCATGTACAGTGGAGTAGAAATGTTCTTTCCATCTCCTTCAGGGCTGGCTCCAGCCTGTAACAGACTCTGGATACATCCTGTGTGGTGATTCTTCACAGCCACATGGAGAGGAGTCTGGCCCTTGATGTCTGTTACCTCAATATCTGCACCCTGGTTTATGAGGTAGTCTACACAGTTCTTATGGCCAGCTAGACAAAATGGAGATGTAGACACATCATTTGTGATATTTTTCAGTGCAATTTGAATACACCACATCTACATGTACATGCAGGCATATATTAATTAGACAAAACAAAGCACGTTTACAGGTACACATACTAGTACAATACTTGCAGCAGCAGGTATACTTTTTAGTACTCATTTTTATCACACCATTCAGCATACAACATTTATTTCTACTGGGATATGCTAAATGTACATTACACAAGACCCCACCCCTTCCCTCGAGTTACTCAGGGTTTGTTGTAATCTCGAACAGTAACCCCCCCCACATACACACACACACACCACCGACCTCCCATTCCCCAACTGCTGTAAACATTTAATACACATACCTGTGGCTGACAGTCTAATTGGAGTGCAGCCCAGGCGGTTTTTCACATTAATCAGACCCCTCTGTTCTTCCTCCACCAGCAGTGACTTCAGTTTGTCGAGGTCTCCTATAAAAGCTGCCTGGTGGAGCACCGGGTCATACTCGTGGACTGGGGTCCAACTGGCCATGGCAGTGCTGCTTTCCGTAGACTAGACGGTTTTTATTCACTTAAGTCTTTGTCGTGTACAATTCAAGTCACAGTCCTTGCTGTGTGATAGCCACTGGTATCAACATGACTATGGCTACTTTCGTGTACAGTTGTACTAGACAGTTCACCGGTCACATCCTTGTTGGCCGTGAACTAGTGTTAGAGCTCGGGCGCTTACGTATTATTGTATAACAAATTTTCGGCCAGCACGATCATGAATACATAAAAAACGAAATTAACAGTGTTAGTAGAACTTAGAATTTGATTGTAACTGTTACATAAACAAATTTGCAACGGAGGATATGACCACTCATCCAACGGCCAATTTAATATTTAGCAGAAAATATGGTTCTCTGCCTTTCGCATAAATTTCATGCACATCAGAAACACTTTCAATGAAATTTTACCATAAGCCGCAGCACCAGAAATTTGTAGTCACCTTGAAATAAGACTACATGCTAAATGATCCTCCAAACTCTAGAGAGCACAAGACAATCTGCGGCGCTACCATTGATCCAATGCTGTTAGGTCAGATTCATTAAATATTTATCTCATATATGTCCAGGCACTTTCACGGCGAAACAGTTAATAGATACTAATTTCCTGAATACAAAAGAATCAAAACATATGGCCCAGGTGACATAAATGTTTATTATTACTAGAATTATTTTTATTTTTATAATTATTATCATTTGAGGTAGGCCTAATATAACAAAATTTAAAAAAATTGTCAGAGTTAACTCTCGTCTCAGAGTGGTCAACCTGTATGAGGTGAGTCCAGAGTGACCTCTGTTGGTCTATATTGATTTTTTCGAACTTTGATCTCATACTTTCATACAGAAATCTGGATGGATATGAGGGTCAGTCACTGGGCCTACATGTACAACGGTTCCCGATTCATTACCTCTTATTTCACCTTGCAGGTGACCAAGGTAGGGTTTTTTTTTTTTTTTTTTTTTTTTTTTCCCCAAGTTGTTGATCTGTTTGTGAGTCAGCATCCTAACTTAAAAAGTTAACGAAAAACTGGATTTAATTCAGAACAGGTAAAAATGGACTAGCTAAATTTGAATCGATTAGATATTGCTGGTGATCAATAAAATGAAATGAAATTGAAATTATTTTAATTAATTAAAATGAACCTGGCTGAGATCTGCGCTCTCAAACTGTGCCCTTTTCTAGTTTTGAATATTTATTGCGCAGAGTCGGCGTTATTCTTCCTCATGCTACTTTTTCATGCTTCACTAAAGCCTGACATACATGTACATGTATAATATGATTGTATTCAATTCGTTAAAATACTTCAACGGTTTTGGACCGTTTTGCATTGTTATCTAGTGTGCCATAATGAACGTCGTTTTATAATGATTCTAGATTCAGTAACCAACAAAGGAGACAGTTGCGATCGGGCACTCTGTTGAAAAGTAGGCCTAGATAGTAATGACTTTGAAATCATGCAAGGTGCACCTGTTTAATTTAAAATATGCGGAGGCTTTATGTAGTTCTAGGCTTTTGGCACGCACAGAAAGTCAAATTACATTACATCAGCAGAATGAATTTGTTCGTAGCATTTGATAATGACGGGAGGCTATATAGTCGACTATATAGAAGGGGTCACACGTAAGGACGTGTTTTGACCCCCAATACCATTCCACCAGCACCAGTGTATTCTTTACACAACAAATCATTCTCATTTCCTTTTTATTTGTTTCTGATACAGAAAAAATGCATTCATCCTGGAATGATCGTATGTGACTTCTTCAAATGTTGAAATAGTAGTTCCAAAAAGTGGATAAAAACGACTTAAATATATCTCAATAATATGAAAATTCAATCCAACATATATGTACATATTAAACGGGTCTAATTCTAGTAACAACAAACAAGTTCACAGAAAACATAATTTAACTTCAAACTTGTGTAACACGCATGTAGCAGTCCAGTTCATCTTCAATTTCAGGTTGGCCTAACGAGGTCTTTTCGCTAATCTCCTCGACCACGGGACGTTTCTTGAACCTTGACCCCTGTCGCCTAGCGACGAGATTCAAACACAGAAATGTTACTATTACGCAAGCGGCGTCAATGACAATAACGAAAGTGAAACTGTCCAATCCATATTGTTGGAAAACCATTCCAGTCACCCACTGATATATAAACCCCCCACAGGAACTTCCCATTAGTACAATTGATACGGCCACGCCGGTCATTTCCAAATACACGTTGGCCCAATTCATCCCACCTGGGAAATATGGTCCGGTGATTAATCCAAGAAGACAAATCATAATCCAGACCACCGTTTTGTTCGAACAAGCCTCAGTGCTAAGGACGATTCCCGCGGTTAGATGGATAATCATTTGAACTGACAGCGTGTAGAGTGGTTTGACCCAATTGGAAAGGACGATCCCCAGAGCCCGACCCCCGGTGAAAAATCCCCAATAAACAGACATCAACAGCGTTGCTTCATCAACCTCCATGTGGACGCGGCCTTCGGAGACAAACGCAAATATAAATTTATCCAGCACCCACTCTCCTCCCACCAAATGAATAAAGAAGAAAAACATGATGATAAACATGAGAAAGCCAAATTTTGTATTCCCTTGTGCACATGTACCAGGATTTAGAATCGAGCGCAAATCTTTCCCGCGTGTAGATTTTTGTTCTTTGTGAATATCCAATGGTCTCTTTGATGTCGCACATTGAGCAAAAATGAGTAAAATTGTACATACAACGGATAATGCCCCACCAACAGCATACGCATATTCTATTGTAGAGTCGTCACCTGGGACCATTTTTGTGCTTAAGTCCACATCGCCATCTGTCATATTATGGAACCCTACTATGGTGTACCCAGAGGAAATCTCTGTACGGTTCCCCAGGTACGAGGACACCATCGGTACCGAGATGTTGCCTGAATAACTTCCAACTTCGAACTCACTGGTGTTGTTCTTTCGTTTAGATGCGTGAACGTGTGTCCCAAGGAAAGGTCTCAGTAGCTGGGGACCACATATTGCGCCCCCACCGAAAGCAAGGTGCGCTGCATAGATAGAAGGCGATGCTTTCTTTCCCCAGAGATGGAAAATGAGTTTAGCAGAGCCTGAAAAGACAGTAACTCCATTATCAACGCTTGGCTTTTCACTTAAAATATGTTTTCAATTTTTTAGCTAAAATTCATGACATCTTATATACCGGTATCTTTGGTCAAACAATTTGCTACATAGATTACAGTTAAACGTGTTTTTTTACAACAAAACTGGAAAAGCAAAAAATATATTTATCTCCACAAATACTTCTGATGCATACTTGTATTACATGTCCACGTCTCATCAACAAAGCCGTGTTTCTACAGAGGCATACTGTCACACAACATCAGTTCCGTAGAACGCAATTTGAAATTTTACTTATATTCTTGGAGCTAACCTGCTCCAAGCAAGCCTTCACATAGTCCCTGGACTACAAACATCACCAACATGGCCCATATCCATGGACAAAGAGGAATGGCCGTTGTTCCAATTGCCTCCAAAGTCATGGCTAGGGCTAGGAGGGCGTACACGTGCCTTTCAAATCGGTCGCATACGTAACCGCCGCCAGCGGCACCAATGAACAACCCAGCTCCTCGTCCAACCAGAGCGCGAGAAATCTCTTCCCAGTTGCTGTTCGTGCGCATGCGCAAGTCTGGGAGTGATGCCCCTGTGAAGGATGTACTTATTCCCTGGCAAAATAAAAATGTGTCTTTCTCAAAAAATTTCAAACAACCAAAACTTTGACCTAGAAAAATGAACGATGTTTGTTTTAGTTCATTTATGGCGTCACATTAGAAATAGTCACTTACATGTCAGTACACTATAGTTATGTTAAAATGAATTACAAATTGACGCATTACCATTAATCACATTAATATTCCCTTAACCACCAAGTTATGACCTATACAAACACGATCTGCACGTATAAACCTGTTTTCGAGTTCTTAATTACAATTTTAACCGCCACGAGAATGATTCACCAGTCTCCAGCCTTGCTTTTATATCATCACTGTATGTCATTTAGTGAGCACAACCACGTAATAACACTTAAATTACAGATAATATTACGACATACTCCCCATAAGAGCTATTTGAGAGTAATGAACAAACCTTAGATACACTTCCATTAGAGCTATGCACATTTCACAAAAGATCCCCAAGTTAAAAACTGGTCTTCAGCGTAGTTTGTTTATACCTATGTCATCATTACTACTACTACTATACGGTCCCTTAAAAAAACAACTTTCACACGAACCAAAAATACCTTTTACCCATGTGCAACATGTTTTATTAATGAGCACAATTGGTTTTCTTTAATTTTTATTTAATTTTTATCGACAGATCATATCTATTTTCATTTTTACTCTTACTTTATAAACATGAAAATAAATGAATTATGATTTTTATTATTATTATTATTATTATTATCATTTTTACTCTTACTTTATAAACATGAAAATAAATGAATTATGATTTTTATTATTATGAGTATTACTATAATTTAAGGTGGAGAATCTTATTCATTTTAGCCTGGAACAAATCGGTGGTAGGTCCACTTCTTAGTTTTAGTTGAATAGTCCCAATATCCTATTATTATCCCACATACTAATGCTTAAAGATAGGCATCGCTCTTACCACACAAAAATATGCAAAGACCAAGAGGGATTGCATGGCCATTAGGTACTTCATTGGAGCCGGTCTTTTAGCGACCTCGTATTCCCCCGCCTTGCCATTCATAGTGCTGTCTGAAGCGCCTAGAAGAGGATCGCCTGCTTCTATTTTCGCTGTATCTTTTTCTTTTTCCTTTGTCGTCAAATCGGGATTCTTGTCTTCCTTCTCTTTGACCATTTTGCAGTTGACGTCTTCGAGTGGAACTTTGTCTTTGATGTCAACGCTGTTGTTTTTATTAATTTCCTTGTTGTGCTGAGCATCACTTGTTTCGTTGTTAGGAAGATCCATTTTATCCCGTGTCTGTTTTTACAATGCACTGGAAAATAAAATACTTTTTAGGACTACAAAAACAGGAGTATATAATTAGAATCAAATAAAAACACGTCAGTTCGTTATCAATTTTTATATTAATTGTAGAGTAAGAAAAATAAAAGGCACCATTAAATAAAGCCTGGTTTGTCATGAATATATACAATATTGTTCATCCACCTGCTCTGCAACAAAGTGAAATACAGGAAGGGGAATATATTTTAAAAAATCACCCTCGTATTGAATAACATGCAGTCCTTGTTATGAGTTAAGGAAGACTTGTTTCCAATGACCTTCATTGTAAAAAGCACAATGCGGCATCCTGAAGATTTTAAGTATGTGCTGCAGGATGCACTTCTCAAAACATCTCTCTGCTAGTTTTTTTTTT